TCTTCGCGCAAATGGCTTCTCTAACGACCCAATTAATTTGAAACAAGTTGAAAAAAAATGGAAAGAATAACGTTTGAATTTGAGGAACAGAAACGAAGTGTGGAGTAGCGGAAGGCGGGTGGTAACGCCACAGGCCACTAAATGCTAGGTTAGAACCCATACCCTTGCTCTTTTTCAAAACCCCCCACCAACCCACCTCCAGTTCCTCACAAACTCCGCAATTGCCGCAGAACCCAAAGCTTTTTATGCCCCACCACAGCTCGAAAAGTTCGCCGACAGCTTCATTACCAGCCATCATCGGAGCCATCATCATTCCGCCGCTGTTGCCGATGCACTGCAAAAAAAAATGGGTAAGGTTTGAATTTTGGGGAGATATTACTGGGAAAAAGAATATCGAAAAACAAAAGCAAATTTCTATGAAACCTGCGAAGTGGCATAATGTTTGTTCAAAAGATTTAAAAGATATATCTACACTATAAAGTTTCTTGAACTTTGGGGAGGTATTACTGGGAAAAAGAATATAGATAAACAAACAAAGCTAATATCTTTGAGTCCTGTGTAGTGGCCTAATGTTGGTTCTAAAATATTTAAAAGATATACCTACTCCATTAAGTTTCTTGAACTTTTTAAGATTTATCAAAAAATCGAAGTTTTTTGTAACGCAAATCAAAGGTTTCAGTCCTGAAAGTATCATTTTTTAACACAGTTTATCAATAGCCAAGTTTATTAAATAAATTTGTTAAATATTTCAAGTGTCATTTAAGTTGATTTATTAGCGTTGTTTCTTAGTTTCGCTTAGGATCGCTTTATAAAGGTATATAAATCTTTCACTTTACAAATTATAAGGTAGATGTATTGCACGTTAAAACATACCTTTCTTAAAACTTGCACTTTTAATTATCTTATTGTTCTAAAAGTCGTTACCCTAAAATGCCATTATTAATTTAGAATTAAATCGATAAGAATATAATTCTAAGATATAAAGAATGATACAAATAATCTTGAAGGGAAATTTTATTGGATCTTTTTTAACATATAATATTTTTTTTGGCTTTTTGAAGTAATTGATATTTATAGGAATTTTGTTAGTAGCCATTCAACAATGTCATTGCTGTAAGGTCAAGAGATGGCTTAATTTTTCTCCGTGTTTGGATGCTGCTACCCATGAGTAATTGGCCCGGCAAAAGTTTGCTGGAGTCGAGTCAGATTTAAGCTTGGCTGCTGGCCGATCTAGCCTGAGTCTCGAGTCTGGAGTCGCGACGATCGCAGTCCGAAATCAAATCGCGGGAAATTCGCAATAAAACAGCCATGGTCAAGACATCCGCCAGCCTGGGAAATAGCATCTTGCTAGGTGTTCTTCTAGTATTCCTAGTTTTGGGAACTCTCACCGAGGGTAAGTACGGTGGCAAAAAAAAAAACAAATTATTTTTTACGAGCACTAAATACCTCATATTTATGGCACATCTGCTTGAAATATTCACGGCTATTGTTTTGGGATGAGAGCCGAAAACAGGTTTTCGAGCGCCAGAACCGCGAGCCAGGGGCGTAGTTCGAGGGGATCTTGGGGCCCTGGCTCTCTCGGCTCGTTAGTCATAATTACGCTTTGTCGTGATTCAAGGCTTCCGGGTGTATGTCATAGCCAAGGCGGCGGAGATTACCCCGCTGATAAGGCCAAACAGCACCCGAAACAGAAAAAGCAAAACAGCAACGGCTACATAATTTAATGGCATGTAATTAAATTTTCCCCCCAGCGGCACCCTATCAGGAGCTGGAGCCCCGCAAAGGTCATGTGCCCGTCTACATACGACATGGCGATGAGCCCCTGAGTGAAATCCATCCAGGACTGGCCGAGGCCTTCAAGGAGGGTCAGTCTAAGGTGAGTCCAGAAAAGCACTTTGGGGAATATCCACCACTTGCCCAGAAAAAGTGTGGCATTTTCAGGAAATCTTTTTAAAAATGTACTTATACCATTTTTTAAGGAGTTTTCCAACAGTGACTTTAGATTTAAGTTTTATTTAACAAACAATTTATCTTCACTTTTTGTAATGAACAATTTTTTAGCAAACTGAAATACATTAAAAATAATAATCATTCATTAAATCTATAAAGTGCTTTTAATATTTTAAAATATAATTCTTAGCTATAAATAATAGAAGGTTTAACAATTGTAATGATTGATACTTAAAACATTTTGATCATCAACTAACCCTTTTCATAAAAAACCATTAAATTTGTATAGATCCTTCTTATATTAATCTCGTTTAGTTAATCTTGATGAGATCCCCTTGAATTTTTCTTCAACTTCTGATAGTTTTTAACTGCTTTTTTCCCTCAGAGTCTCGTCACCGAAGCTCCCCAGGCAGAAACCACAAACCCACCGACCTCATCTGATTCTCCTGCTCCTTCCAGCTCAACAGTTTCAGATATAGCCAGCTTTGAAGCCATCAAAGCGAAGACGGAATAATACAATTGAATCGATTCAAAATTTCTTCAATAACATCCTAAGCTTAAAAGATAAGTCCATCAAATGAGCAAAGTATTTAAATAGACAATAAACATTCAAATAAAGAAAACAAGCCTGGTCTAGAGGCCATCTTTTACGAACTTTATGCAAACTACAGTGCGAAATGGAAGGTGCAAGAATTCATCCGAAATTTTGACTTTATATCAAGTCCTTATGTTATTAAAGACATAGCTCGCATGTCTAAAATTCTAACAGACTTAACCAAAAGCGAATTAATCGTTTTTCTCAAATACATCAATTTTAAAAATAAATAAAATTTTTAAAACGTTTAAAAAAAAAGATATATAAAGTAATATATATAAGTTATTTCCCTAAAAATCAGTTGCAGCTTTGCTTCTTCGTATAGATTTTTTTAAAAACGTAAAAAATCAAAGTGCCTTTCAATTAAATATATTGGTTTCATTAGAGCGAATTCAAAAGGGTCCTCTGACCCCAAATAATCTTAAAAGCGCTTTGTAACTTAATTATTTGTATAATTTGGAAAATTACCAGGCAAGTTAAGTCGCTTTAAACGATCCCATTCCGGAGTTCGTCACCAGCGAGGAATTGAGTGTCCTGTCTGGCGCGTTTAAATGAATTTCAGAATTTCTGTGGACCCCAGCTCGTTAAGAGCTGTGCAAGTTTCACACATTCAATGGAAATTATTTGGTCCCTTTGGGTTTTCTGTTTCTGTTTCGGTTTTGGTTTGGGTTTCCCCGTCGGTATCCTCGTCTCCTCGAAGCTCTTCGCTGAAATCGCCTTAGAGCTTTGTGTGTGATTTACTTGTTGTGCCCATTAGGGAGTTGGGGGACGAGGACATCCCGGGGATTGGTGGGAAGGACATCGGACCGACAGGACCTGGCCAGGAAGCTGTGGCGCAAACGTTTGTAATTAATATAATGGCAACGGCTGTGCCGTTGAGTAAAACTCCAAAATGGCCTACACACGTTGCGGTTCGACATGGGGCATGGGTTTTTTTTTTTTGGTTGGGGGGGGGTCGTCCTGGCTGATTGGGGGCGATCACAAATTGTTGTTTCATTGTCTCTCGGCCCGGCTGTCTAACGAGCAATAAAACTAAATACATACACATAAAGTTAATTATAAAAGGGCAAAGGAAATTGGAAGGTCCCAGACTATTGAGCTGTAGGATGCAAGTGATGGATTAACCAAAATGGAGTGTCCTTTTGGGGGAGAGGGTTTTTTTTTGGGGGTTTTATCTGCAGACGAAATCGGGCTGCAATCAAGAGGGCATTAAAAGGAAGGCAAAAATACTTGGAGTAGAAAAAAAGCAGAGGGAAAAAATCCAACCAAAAGAAATGCCACAAAAAAGCGACGAAAACTATGCGTAGTAAAAGCGAATTTTATGGAGCATCCTCGTTTAAGAAACAGCTCCTGAATTTAAATTTTCCTGCGTTCTCACACATATATATTTGCACTCGCACACACACACATAGAGACAGGCTGCCAGGTCCGTGTTCTTGTATCATTGTGTGCGTTCGAGCGCATTCAACCTCAAAATGAATAATTGCATATGCTTCAATGATTTGCGACTTTATTCGAGAGCAGAAGCTTCTCGCAAGCTGCTCGCCAACTGCCAATACTTTAAACTTAAAGGCCAAAAGTTCAATTGCAGGATATACATAAGGACATAGGACACGGAAGATGGGAATGGGCCATACAAAATGTAAAATAAGGGAGCAGAACCCACTGACCATCCAGGCTAATTTGAGAATTGCTCGGCTTAATTGCGTGGCGCTTAAACAATAATCAAGTTAACGGTTATGCCAGCGATTATCGCCATTTTTACACCGATGCCAATACTAAGGATTATTGGCTGCCCATTAACAGGAGCAGCAATTCCAATCCGAGTAGCCCCCATCCAAGCCCACATCCCCCAATTTGATTTCGTCCAACCCAATGACATCGTGCACTGCGCGAAAAAGTATCACCTGAGCAGATATATTTAATTAAACATATAACTATCCTTTTTTTGATTCAAATCATTCCCACCTTATATTTTGGTATATAGATTTTTAAACATTTTTTTTAAATCTTAATATAAGAGTGTTGCATTTTCTGACGGACGTTTCTTAAATTACATATATGTATATTTGTATACCACCTCTGAAAATATTTCAATATTATGTATATTATTAACTATTATTATAACGATGTTATTACCCATTTGGGTAATTATTCCGCTATTTATACTATTTATACTTTAAATTACAAAATATTAAAGAGTTCCAGTTTATTGACGTCCATTTAAAAAACGGCGGATTATATGTAAAATCATTTCTTAATTCATTTTTTAAATAATATTACTATTAAATTTATCCAAATTCCAACAATTTTTCAATTTTTTTTTAAATTAATTTTAAATTTAAATTTAATCATAGACACCATGTTTTAAAAATGATTTCCCCTAACATCACAGATTTATTTCTAAGTTTCTAAGTCCGGATTCTTTATCTACTCAAACTTTACTGTCATTATAATGTCAAGTCAAACGAAGCAACTGGAAATTATGAGTAAAATTAACGACTTGTTGGGCGAACTTCAGAAGCAGGAAAAGGATCTCGAAAAGATTCACTTCCAAGAGTCTGTGGAGGATCTGGAGAAGCGATTGCCCGAATTGGAGTTGAACAAGGCTCAGATCACTCTTTATCATAGTCTGCGTGAAGACATCCTGTTAAATTTGGAGCAGGAGGTGACCAAATTTTCATCCTCCCTTCCAGAATTGGATCGCATTGCCGAGATGCGCAGCCAAATAAATGAAATCAACCGGGATCTGGACAAGATGTACGAGATCAACAACTGTTCCATCTGTAAAGCGACCTGTGATCCACGTGGCAATCATTGTCTAGTTTCACTGCGATGTGGACATCTCTTTGGACAATTCTGCATCAATTCTGCCCTCCGGCGGGCATATCGATGTCCCCTTTGCTTGAGGGCAGCTCTTTACTACGATGTCCGCAGGATCTACGGCTTAAACTTTTTTCCGTTCTGAGTTAGCTAAAGTTGTTTATATTTTTAATACGCTTGTCTAACATCAAATAATACTTGTAACAGTTCCATGAAGTAATTCCTGTACTTAACAAGGACCAAATCGTATTTTCTTTTTACCAAATTTTAAAGAAATTTCACAATCTTGCGATTGCTTTATTTTTAAGAAATATATTTGAATTGTTTTTCCATAAGAAGACAATATTTTCTTTAGTATATCCATTTTATCAAAAATTTAAAAATCAATTGGAACAGGTACAGAATTTTAATAGAGATATGAAAAGCTTTATAGAGGTTAAAGATTTTCCATATATATTTCGAGAAAAAAATAATAATAAATAATAATAAGTTTAGTAATTATAATGATATTTAACATGTAAACTCTTTTTCCGTAAATGGAAATAGCTCACATATCTAAAATATTTTGTTAACCCACTTTCTAATATTTATTAAAATCGTTCGAATATTATAATAGAAATTCAATTTCAATTTCTTTATAAAGCACATTTTAAATGTCCAACAGATATTATAAAATACATCCGAAAATAATTATAAAATAAACGATTTTATCCAAAACTTCTGTTAAGTAACATGCCCAATTTTTGCCAGTGCTGGGAGCATCTTTATTGGGTTTAATGTGAGCACATTTTCGCCATCGAGTTGGGGGCTATTTGCCACCCAGCAGACCGCCCAAGATGCCACCGCCGCCGCTGCTGCTGCCGCCTCCGGTGATGCCGGGTATGGAAATGAGATTGCCCAGCAATGGGTTGCCGTTTAAATTCAGCAGGCAGCTGTCAAAGCAATTTCATGCGAAAGAGCAAATATATGAGCGGAATTGGCCAAGAGGACTGAACCGGAAGCTGCCACTTACCGCAGATCCAGGCGGATGACGTACTGACAGGCCCATTCCCGGAGGCACTGCAACATGGCGGAGAGAGATCGGGCTTTAAAGCCTTAAAGCGAGGGATTTATTTAAGCCGCACTTACCCGTAGAGCTTCGGGAGAGGGTCGCGGGCAAGTGAGGCCATCGCCGCCGCCACCTCCTCCCCCGCCGCCGCCACCACCACTTCCGGATCCACCGCCGCCACCTCCACCACCACCACTTCCGCTTCCTCCGCCTCCACCACCTCCTCCTCCACTTCCACCGTCTTTCGGATAAACAGGAACGGGAACAGGAACAAGAATTGGCACCTTCTTTACCGGAGTCTGTGTCTGCGATTCCCAGGGGTTCTGGGGGTTTTTCATTCAAAAGGATCACCAAAAATTACTTTTTAAAATCCCCACTTACATTGTGACCTAGAGACAGGGATATCAATCCCAGCATAGCTAGAGACAAGACTAGTTTTCTCATTTCAGCTTTAGTCAGATGAAACTCATCCACCGATATATCGGACTCACTGTCTCAAAACGCCGTTTATATACGGCCAAGTCCCACAGGTGTTTTCATATGTGGGTCTTGCAACCGCTACAGCGAGATAATACTTATTCATTTTTGATTTTAACTATAGGTATACACAATGAAGTGAAAATTTTAATGAGCTTATCATACAAAACAATTTAAATAGGCCATGTTTTTCAAGTCCATGTTCCCAAACCTTATTTAAATTAATTAATGATAATTGAAACGGTCTTAGTGAAGGTGGAAAATTAGTAAAACCTAATATTAAATAATTTCAACTATAAGAAATTTTGTTATGTGGTACAATACCTAAATATTAAATAAAACAACCATTCGAATTTGGCGGCTAACAAACCGGAAAAAGGGCTGCCAGACCTTTTAATATTTAAAATTCAAACAGTTCCTGTTGAAAGTGTGGCAGCTTAATCGGCTAACAAGACCTTCATACGATCTGGCCACGCTTCGTCAGCTCTTTTTACCGGTTCGCTTAGCGCACTTTCTAATATATTTTAAAACCGTTTAAATATTATTATAGAAATTACATTTTATTTGTAAAGAATATGAAGAAAATTTTAAATGTCAAACAAATCCAATAAAATTTATACGAAAATAATTATAAAGTAAATGATTCAAAACAATACTTCTTTTAAAGTAAAATGCACAATTTTGGGTTAATGTGAGCTTATTTTCGCCATCGAGTGGGGGTTATTAGCCACCCAACAGAGGGCTGCTGCTGTTGCCTCCGGTAAGGCCGGGTAGGGAAACAAGATTGCCCAGCAATGGTTTGCCATTTATACCGATCAGGCAGCTGCAAAGCAATTGCATGCGAAAGAGCAAATATATGAGAGCGGAATTGGCCAAAAGGACTAAGCCGAAAGCTTCCACTTACCGCAGATCCAGGCTAATGACGTACTGACAGGCCCATTCCCGGAGGCACTGCAACATGGCAGAGAGAGATCGGGCCTTAAAGCCTTACGGCGAGGGATTTACTTAAGCCGCACTTACCCGTAGCTCTTCGGCACTGGCTGGCGGGCAAGTTTGACCGAGAGACAGGGATATCAATCCCAGCACAGCTAGACACAAGACTAATTTCCTCATTTCAGCTTTAGTCAGATAAAACTCATCCACGGATGTATCGCACTCACTGCCTCAAAACAAGTCCCACAGGTCTTTTTATATGTGGGTTATGCAACCGTTACAGCGAGATAATACTTATTCATTTTTAATTTTAACTAATGAATACACAATGAAGTGTACATTTTAATGAGCTTTAGTTTACCATACGAAACAATTTAAGTAGGCAGTATTTTGCAAGTCCATGTTCACAAAACTCTTTTTAAATTATTTAATGACAAATAAAATGGTCTTAGTGTAGTGGAAGAAGGTAATACATAATATTAATTTTCAAATTTAAGAACTTTTATTATGTGGTAAGATACCTTTGAATAAAAAAACCATTTCAAATTTGGCGGAAAACAAACCGGAAAAGGGCTGCCAGACCTTTAAATATTCTTAGTTCAAATTCTATTGAAAGTGTGGAAGCGCCGAATCGGTTAACAAGACCTTCACACGATCTGGCCACGCTTCGTAAATTACTCTGTCAGCTTTTTTTACCGGTTCGCTTAGCGCCCAATTTAAATTTGTTCACTTAATATTTGTTTTTATGAATAAATTTAACGTGTTTATTAATGTTGAATTTATGCAAATAAGTATCAATGGAATTATTGGACTAATTATATTCTGAATAGAGATTTTTTTATATTACATTTTATAAATTTATAATTTATATTGTAAAAGGAAAGTTCCCAACCGAAACAATAATAAAACAACGCTCATGTTCCATTGATTTTCTATATATATTTCAATTAATTTGATAATCATAAATATTTTATTTATTCGCCATGCAAACCATGTACAATTACATAAATAGGTAGGTTCATTTCAATTTCAATTTGTGATTTTAGTGGTTTCGTGTACTTTATTTGTTTTCGGTTTTGGCAACTAGTCGTATATGTATAATATTTATATATATATATAAGTTACGAGAACTAATTGTACAATAATTCATCTAATAATACCGCTGTGTATAAGAGTAATATGAACGATCGCTTGCTAGTTGATTAGTATACGTAAGACAATATCATTACCGTTGGCAATACAAATATCAATGGTGTAATTGAACTGCGCGAGAACGGGCGCAGTAAAAGAGGAGAAACGCACATCCATAATCGAATCGAGACTCCTGCTCGTAATTCCTAGTTCCATTGTACAGGTAGGTGAGGCTAACCATGCTAATCATGTTCGAAACTTTCAACTGACTTAACTTGACTTTTTGAGCAGTGTTTTTGTGGATTTCCGTGGACAGGTGGCTGATTCTTTTGGAGTAAAAAGCATTAGGGTGAACAGTTCTCTTTGGGTAATTTTTGGCAAATAATATTAATATTTTAATTTAAAAACCAACAAAATAGCGATTTTCTAGTTATGAACCGGCATTTTTTCATTAATTTTGCAATATTTTTATTAATTAGTTATATATTTTTAAAAAGGGGTTCCCTTTATAAATTGGATATTATGAAAATATTTGTTAAAAAATTTTAAAAAGTATTAAGTGTGTCTGTCAATTTCAATGTTAGATTTTTCTATTGGTTTTTAAATAAATTGCGTATCTTGAGCAAGCAGAAAATATTTGTAGGGCCTATAAAACCTTCAAATATTTTGTTAGCTATTTAATGATTAAGATATGTCATCGTTTTAGTGGCTTATGTTGCTGAGCCAAAAAAAATGTGTAGGCTAACATTTATACCCCAGATTACTTTTCCTCCTTATGGCGATTTTATAACCCAAAGGAACCAACCACCCATCTGTGATCAGTGTTTTGCTTTTGCATAAATCCGCAGTCGTGTTTTAATCGGGGTGGTCGAGTAGAATCTATAAATCAGTGGCTCAGCGTCCGAATCCAAATCCGAATCCGCAGCTGCACTGCCCTGGCGATCCTCAGGTGCACTGCATCTTCTTGCAGTTGCACAGCCACTTGATGATCCTGGCATTCCGCTCCACAATCGATGGAGGTTCCGAGGGTCGATAGGCTTGGGTGGCCTGTGGCTGGGTTTCCGTACTATCCGGCAATCTCATCGAATCCACGGTGCTCACATCCGAGAAGAAAACGGTGCTGGAATCATCCGAGGCATCATCCGTCTCCGAGTGGTGTCTCCTCGGCTGACTGTAGATCTCGTGGAAGGCCTCGTCGTTCAACCCCAGGCGATCGAAGAACTTCTCCAGCTCCGAAATGCTGGCATTCAGGGCCTCCCTCTCCATGTCCAAGCTGCTGTGGTAGACCTCCGAGGAGAAACCTTTGGGGAAGAAGACGTTCTCGTGGTCCACACTGCCTCGATGCTGCTTGTACGCAGCCAGGACACCGCTGGCCGGGCCCATTCCTCCAGATCCCGGGGGTGCTAGGCCTCCTCCTGATCCCGGTGGTCCTCCCATTTCTGCACAGGGAAAAGATATGCATTAAAATGGGCTTAAAATGGAAATTGGTGTTATGAAAAAAAGGTTGTATGCCGAAATGTCTGTGTTTTTGAACCCTTGTTGGCAAGCAAAAGTAACCCTTTTATAACCACAATGAAATGAGACATTTAAAGATCGTTTAAGTTTAACTTCATGTAAATTACATTTTGATCATTCAAAATAAGTACACTTTGTGGAAAATGTAGATCTGATATGACGTTAAAAAGATAGATATTTCCCAGAGAAGATTATAAGCAGACTGTTAGATACTTCATATTTAGACCTGTTGTTTCCATTAAAGATTTAATTAATATGGATTATTTTAAAGGGGTAGGGGTATACATAGGCCTAAAAAGCTTTTTACTTAAAAAAAGTGTTTCTAAGTATTGTAAAATTTAAGATAATCGATCAACATTTTCCATAGTTGTACCCACCTCCTTGAACTGGCAGTCGATTCCTGTTCTTGAAGCGGATGCACCGCTGCCTTTTGAACTGGATGGGCGGTGGACTGATGTCGTCCACGGAGGGCGCTGATCCGGGGCTCTGGACCAGGGAGCTCTGCGAGTGATTGATGCTCGTGTAGCCCTGGGAACTGGTGTGCAGCTGCTGGCTGGATGAGCTCGAATATCGGGGCGTCTGGGTCTTGAGCCTAGGTGATGGGGGAGTGGGTGTGTAGTCGTCCTGGAAGGCCTCCGGAACCTCTGGAGTGGGCGTAAAGTTGAGCAGATAATCGGAACCCATTCCGGTGTCCTGTTTGCAACGGCAATCCAAACACTCCGTGTTGCGACCTCCACTCATTCCCGAGTATTCCCCAGCCGGAGTGACATAGCCACAGTAGGAATTCGCACTGTGCTGGGTGGAGGAACCACTGTCCCTTCGGGTGGCCGCCACCAGGGTGCAACAGTTTTTGATTGTTCCGCTCGCCGGAGCCCCACTTCCGGCCGCATCCCTTTGGCGCTCTCTCTTGTAGCACGGCTCACTGCGATGGGTGTAGTGACCGGAACTTCCGCCGGAATCACGGTTGATCGAGGACTCGCCGGCGGATTTGATCGAACGATTGCCCCGGCTGCAGCAGCTCAGGATCTCGCTGTGCGGGGAGTGACGACTGATCTGGGTGTGCAGATCCGGCAGCGACTTGTGGCTATTGATATTAAAGTCGCCGGATGGATAGGGGGCACTGCGATCCTCCCCCGTGTTGGGAACCTCGTGCGAATGCGAGTACGATCGCTGGTAGTTGTATCTGGAATTAAATATCGATGGTAACATCATTCAGGAACAACAATTTTCTCTACCTTTGCTCCCAATTAAGTAAAATACTTTTTCAAAAATAACACAACTGAAAGACAGCATTAGTAAAAGAAATCTATCCACACTCAATGATTTTCCCATTTCTAGTTTTCTTATGAGAAGGGTACCATTATAATCTTTTTCAGAATATGTTAGAAATTAACATTTTCGAACTTAATTAAGAGTTTATATGGTAAACCAATTTAACACTTTCTTTACTTCCAACTACTTTCTTTTACTAGCTAATAAGTATTATATTCAACATAACCATTCCATATAGCACCATCTTTCTCACCTGTAGCGATCGTTGTGGGCCTGACCCGACTTGGCCGCATACTCGGCGGGCGGGCTGATGGGTCGATAGTTCTCGGTGAGGACGAGGGGTTCCTCGCCGTCCCGCCCGAAACCATGGGCGGGCATGTAGAGGGGCGGGGGGATCCTGAGGGCGCCCGCCTGCCCGCCCAGCTCCTCCTCGCCGTAATCCGTGGGCAGGAGCTCCGCACTGCCGTCGTTCATCTCGTGGCGCCTCAAGGTGGCTCCTCCTCCTCCGTTGCGCTCCTTTCCCGACTCCGATCCCAGCAGCATGCGCAGCTTGTGCTGCAGGAGGTTGTTGTTCACGGCTGCTCCTCCGCCTCCCCCTACCCCGCCTCCTCCCCCGACTCGACCTTGACCTTGGCCTTGGGCGTGACGGGAGTGCGGGTGGTGCTGGTGTGGGTGGGGATGGTGGTTGTGCAGGTACTGCTGTTGCTGCTGCTGCTGCTGTTGTTGCACCTGCTGTTGCACCTGCTGCTGCCGACTGAGATTCAAGCTCATGTACCGCCTGTCCTCCAGGTCATGGTGATACCCATGGGACGACGGCTCCTCCGGTCTGCGTCCCCTCTTGCCGCTGGCTCCATTGTTGCCCCCTCCATTGCGGTAGCTCGCCTGCTGCAGTCGCTCAAAAACCGCCTCGGATTTAATGTAGAAGGGCTTGGACTCCGCCAGCAGCTCCACGGCGGACTTGCGCTTGCTGTAATGCCTGCCGCCCGTGTGATAGAAGGCGTTGTGGTGACCCCAATAGTTGCGACTGGCCGCCGCCGTTTCCGGCAGCGCGGAGGCGGAGAGCGGTCTCTGTCCGCCGGAGGATGACATCCCATAGCCGTAGCCCGCATCCTGCATCCCTCCTGCGCCGGCGAAAAACTGCTGAGTTGTGGCGTACAGCTGCTGGCTGACAGTCCTCGAATACTTGGGCATGGTGGGATAGGCGGAGGAGGGCGTGGAGCCATGGTGACCACCCGGAGAACTACTGCCATTGCAGGATCGCTGCCGCGGACTGCTGCAGCCATGAACCACAGCCGCCATTCTTGGGAGCTATGTGCTAAGGGAGCCGGCTTTACTATGAGCTCCTAGAGTCCCAGGGTTTGTTGAGTTCCTTGGGGTTCCTAAGGTTCCTTGAGTTCCTTGAATACTTCTTTTTTTTCAGATTCCTTTATCTACTTAGATTCTTTGAACTTATTGTGTAGTACAGGTTCTTTGGGTTTCTGGAAATACTTTGATACCTTCCTTGATTCCCTTGGATTGGTTAAGTTCCGTGAATTCTTCAGGTTCCTTTGGCTTCTTCAGTTTCTCAAAGTTACTGATTATTATAATTCCTTAAGTTTCTTTAAGAACTTTGATACCTTCTGTTTCTTAGATTCAATAAATGATTTTGAATTACTTGAGTTCCTTGGTTTTTGTACGTTTTCTTGCATAGGTTCCCTTGATAGAAAGCTCCAAATTTCTTCTGGTTTCTTGGGGCAGCTTAAAGTATCGTTTAGCTCCTTCTTCCTAGAGTTCCTTGGGATCCCTGGCTCCTAAATGAACATTTCCTTGGCTCCTGGGCAGGTGTTGCTGCAGGTGTCCCCTGCTGTTCCTCCTAATTTTTTCCTCCCTCAGCTTTTCTGCTGGCCTCGATTGGCGGGGGTGCGAGTTCGGGAGTCCGGGCTTTGTGGCATGCGCAGTTGTCGGCTTGCTGCGTATACTGAAATTACAATACAATAATTTTCAGCTAACCCAGGCTTGATGGCCGTCTTCCTCCTACACTTTCATGGCAATGGCCAAAAACTAGACCAGACCAAGGCAAAACCAGTAAGCACCCGACATGCACTTGGGCACCTTCATGTGGATGCAAATATGGTGGGTCTGTCGTGACTTGGTCTAGTTACCCAAAGAGTATTTATAGATTTCAACGCACTTTCACATGAATCCTTTAGGGGTACACAAACACCTAGGGGTTTTCTTTCATATTTCAACTTTAGTACCGCTTTTCTTTTTACCAGACACTCATTGAAGTATTCTTTTTCGGTTAAGATTGGTTTGGATCGGAGCACACACACATTCCTCGGGTGGGAACTCACCAGGCGCTACGAAAAATTCCTTCAGTTGTGCGACGGTGGCAAGGTCTGCTACATTGTGCCTCTTTGAATAACAGATGTTGTGCCGCTTCCAAAGTGTTCCGTCCTCCCAAAAAGTTCCAGTCATGCGCCTAGGTTATAAGACCCCAGGCGAAGCTTTCACTGGTCTCATAGGTGTGGTGGTTACCCGAAATTCTACTTTTTCCAGCAGGCACAGAAGTTGCTAGAGTCTTTTGGGTTTTAAAACCACTGATTTTTCAATTCATATAGTATTTTAATGGTTAATATCCCCTAAGTTTCAATGGGAAGTCGAATGGCAGATACTTTCACCACACCTTGATAAGAAGTTCACCAAGTTCACTACTTAGAATTCAATAAATAAATGCTTATCAAAAAAGCTTTTTAAAAACTAATAAACAAAATCTCTGAGTTAAAACAAAGTTAATAATCGTTATTTGGTATGATCGAATTATGTACAATATTTTTGTTAAAATTAGAGTTTTGAAGCTTAAAATCGTTAAGAATTTAAAATACATCTATCTATAGCTTTTCTTAAGTATGAAAATTTGATGATAATTCCGAAAAGTTTTTAAGCTTTTCATATTTGTCATGTTAAAATTTTTTAAATTTAAAAAACCGTTTCAAAAGTTTATCTCTGTGTTATCTCTATTTTCGCCCGCCAAAAATCACAGGGCCTTTGCAGCTACTCACAGAGTAGTACTCAGAGCTTTTTCCAGAACTTTATAAGAGAGCCCCAACCAGAAACTGAGTTCAGTCAGTTAGCCCTCAACTGCAAAACCGCAAAGATGTCCAGTAAAATTCCGTACGTGAAGCACAACAACGGCACCCAGATCCAGAGCATAGGATTGGGTACCTATACGGTAAGATTACGTCCTGAAGATCACGTCTCTGATATCTTTCTGGGCAATATTATGGTTATCAGGGGGAACCTATCCGATAATAAAACGGTTTGCCATTTTTCATAGTCTCTGGGTGGCGATTGTGAGCGGGCCACGCTCCATGCGATTGATGTGGGCTACCGGCACATAGACACCGCCTACTTCTACGAGAACGAGAACGAGGTGGGTGCGGCTGTCCAGAAGAAGATTGCCGACGGCGTCATCAAGAGGGAGGACATCCACATCACCACCAAGGTCAGTTCTGCAGTGTACTATACATCAAAAACTAATCCCTGAATGGAAACCCATTTTAGCTGTGGTGCCACTTCCATGAACCCGAGAGGGTGGAGTACGCCTGCCGTAAGACCCTGAAGAACTTTGGACTGGAGTACGTGGACCTGTACCTGATGCACTGGCCCTACTCCTATGTCTACAGGGGTGACAACGAAATGATGCCCACCGACGCCAAGGGAGAGGTGGAACTCAAGTGGGTAACTGAAAAACATATAAAACAATAGTAATACAAACCAATTTTCCCATTATAGCGACATCGATTACCTGGACACCTGGCGTGCCATGGAGAAGCTTGTACAACTGGGCCTGACCAAAAGCATTGGCGTTTCCAATTTCAACTCGGAGCAGTTGACTCGCCTACTTGCCAACTGCAAAATCAAGCCAATCCACAATCAGGTTCGCCATTTGTGGCTTTCCTCTAGGTTTTCAGTTACTAATGGACTATTTTCCAGATCGAGTGTCATCCCGCGTTGAACCAGAAAAAACTGATTGCCCTGTGCAAAAAGAATGATATTGTGGTGACTGCCTACTGTCCTCTGGGACGACCCAACCCGGCTGAAAAGACGCCCAACTATATCTATGATGCCAAGGTGCAGGCCATTGGAGACAAGTACAAGAAGTCCACCGCCCAAGTGGTGCTCCGATATCTGGTAGGGATTCGAAAAATGATTTATTTATATGCAATATACATTTATCACTGATAATATTTGCCAAAACAGATTGAGATTGGAACCATTCCATTGCCAAAATCGTCCAATCCCAAGCGCATCGAGGAGAACTTCAAGATCTTCGACTTCAAGCTGGATGCTGAGGACCATGCCGTTTTGGATTCGTATAACACTGGTGAACGTCTGATCCCCATGACCCATGCTATCAAGAGCAAAAACTATCCGTTCAGCATCGAGTTTTGAGCTGAAATGTTAGAGGAATATTTGATATTTTACTTGGCTTTGATATTATGATAACATGGATATTTTGAAAAGCACATTTATAATGTAGACTTTTTATTTGTTGAATAAATATTGATTTGAAACCTTTTATTATTTAATTACTTACTTTTTAATACATAAACATCGACAATATACATAAGTTTCGATCGTTTTTTTACGATCCTATGTACATTGTACATATATTGTGTGTAAGTTTAAAGGTTTAATTACCCCGATTGCAGCCTTATCACTTATCACGTCAATAATAAATAGTATTTAGGGGTATATAGTTCATAAATTTATAAGGTCCAACAGAATTAAAACAAAAACCTTTAAAACAGCCTGTACAAAATGATTAAATGATGTGATTTTTTTGTACACAAACATAAAAACAAGCCTCTTCCCATTTGTATTTACCCCTGCTGATCTGTCGGCATTTCAGAGAGATAAAAATATACAGAGAGAGCTTTCGCTGGCTCAACTAGAATTCGCATGGAAAATTCCATTTAATCAAGATCACATAGACTAATGCAAGACCACCCCCAGCTGTTTGAATTCAATTATTTAAAATTGAAAAGCAAATTGCAAAAATGCACAACAATAAAAATTACAAAAACACAGCCAAACTCACAGGTGTTAAGCTTACAAACAAAGTACTTAAGTAATAAACTTTACGCGCGAACTCACTATCGATATATGAGATTTAAATAAGTTCCCACATTTTAGTATGGGCATTTCCACAGCGTAAATCGTAAGCTTTTAAATTAAAAGTATATGAACCAATCAATTAAAAACTACTAAGTTACCCCAATCTCTTAGCTCTACTTATAAAAGATCCTAAGCTTTTTAATTTTTTTTAATGTATATTGCAATAAAATTTTGAGTTTTGTAGTAAGAAATGTCAAACTGATAATTGAAGGGTGAAAAGACCTTAACCTTTTCATTGTTTTATGGTAGTCTTTCCATGTATTCCCGCCAAATCTCAAAAGGCTTTTGAAAGTTCTCCGAGCCCTTTCCTTCCCGAAACTTTAAAAGACAAGTGAATCGAGATATCCGGACATTCAGTGTTCAACCGTGTTAAAGTGAAGATGACCGGAAAAACAGGGTACCTAAAGCACAACGACGGAACCCAGATTCAGCCAATTGGATTGGGCACCTTTGCGGTAAGACTATGAGTGGTAGATCACGTCTCCGATAATGGTTGGGAATGTCGCCTATCAGCAGGTTTAACGTCATTTAGGACCGTTTAACGTTATTGATGATTTTTAATTTCAGTCGACGGAAGGCGATTGCGAACGGGCCGTTCTTCATGCGATTGATGTGGGCTACCGGCATATAGACACCGCCTATTTCTACGGAAATGAGGGCGAAGTGGGCGCGGCGGTTCGGAAAAAGATTGCAGAAGGTGTTATCAAGCGGGAGGACATCTTCATCACCACCAAGGTCAGTTGGCAAGGGAATAGTTTTCGAATAAACAAAATAATATTAAATTTTATACACTATAGCTCTGGTGCCACTTCCACGAACCTGAGAGGGTGGAACACGCCTGTCGTAAGACCTTGGAGAACATTGGTCTGGACTATGTAGACCTCTATCTGATTCACTGGCCCTTCTCTTACAAATATCGTGGTGACAACGAACTGATCCCTAAAGATGCCAATGGAGAGGTGGAGCTCGTGTGAGTAATTAAAGAACGTTTAATTGATTGAAAACGTACAACTGATTGTGAAATACTACTACGTCTTACGTTAGTTCTTCTCTTAACTTTAATCCTAATTTGTAGGGCATACCCCTAAAATCGAGATTAAAAAGTGCCTATTATTTAAATTGCCGGCACTTCTCAAGCAAATATAAAAAACCAAAAAAATGCGAATTCTTCAGATTCGCAAGCCACTAAGTTTTACGGTATATAAAACCACACATTTCATTACAGTGACATCGATTACCTGGACACTTGGCGTGCCATGGAGAAGTTGATTGATCTCGGACTGACTAAGAGCATCGGCGTTTCCAATTTCAATTCGGAACAGCTTTCCCGCCTTTTGGCCAACTGCAAGATCAAGCCAATCCACAATCAGGTGGGTGAATCTATGACACCCCTCAAGTTTCTAGTTGATAATAGCCATTTCCCCAGATCGAAGTCCACCCCGCGTTGGATCAAACGAAACTGATTGCCCTGTGCAAACAAAATGACATTGTGGTGACCGCGTTTTGCCCGCTGGGTCGAGCAAATGCCGAACTGAGGACACCCGCCTTCATGTTCGATGGGAAGGTGCAGACCATTGGAAACAAATACAATAAAAGCATTGCCCAAGTGCTGATCCGATATCTGGTAAGGTTTTTATATTCAGAACTATTTTTGGTAATATTTCTGATCATATATATATCTTTTTATTATAGATTGAACTTGGAACAGTTCCCCTGCCCAAGTCATCCAATCCCAAGCGCATCGAGGAGAACTTCAATGTCTTCGATTTCAAGTTGGATGCTGAGGATCATGCTCTTTTAGACTTATATCACACTGGCGAACGAGTGGCTCATGCCCGTCAAGCTATCAAGAGCAAATATTACCCCTTTAACGTTTACAGTGCTTGTTTTTAATGTTCAAAAAAATATAGAGATTGTTTTGTATAATAAAAAATATTTAATTATAAACAGTATAATTTTTTTAGCTTTTATTAATGAAGATATATCGACTAACGTCAGTCAATTGTTTGCTTGCTGAGTATTTTATTTAAGTGTTCTGTGTATGCCTAACTTTGTCTTATCAGTTTAAGTAGTTTTATTTGATACTGAAGGGGGTTGTCAATAAAGAAACCATGGGGTCTATAAATATTATAAACTCTTTTTTTTCTACTTCCATGATTTTGTCAATGTGTTCTAAATACTTAAATGGTATCGCTCATATTTTAATTGTAATTGTAAAATTATCTATCAGTACCTTCAGAGCGATAAGGCGAAGATGATAGAGATTTCTTTAAAGATATCACTTCGGTATTTTGTAACGGCTCACGGTATTTTACACCTGTTAGTATATTAGAGATATTGGCAGAAAACTATCGATAAATATTTATTTTTATAAAAGTGTTTAGTCTCCGCTGGAGATGGGCGCGTGAAATATTGCTTGATCCATAATAGCCATCCTGTAACTTCGCTTTGCCGGGATTTTACAACAAATTGCGGGTAAACAAGATGCCAGCAGTACGTGGCCACCGCAGCGAAGATTACGTGGATCAGCAGCGGCAGGAGGAGTAAGTGAGTCCCGGGAACAACCAAGCAAATCCGTCCAGTCCGTGGAAATCAGAGCTTCGCCAGCCGGAAAAGTAGAGCAGACCCCCCACAGAAATCGATGCCCCACTGCCACACAATGGTCTATATGCGAATTGTGCTGACAACCTTGGTGACCATTACGTGTCTGCTGGGGGACAACTTTGTGGAACTGACCCAGCATCCCCTGCTGAAGGCCCTGGCCGATAATGCCACACATGCGGCCATAGGAGCCCTCACGGGCATCACCTTTGCCACCCAGTTTTATGAGCGGACCTCGCAGCTGTTCGGCTGGATATTGATTTTCACCTGCTTCGTTGTGTCATCGTTCATTGACTTGGACCACTTTGTGGAGGCGCGTTCCCTGTATCTGGAGGTGAGTGGGAGTCAGTAGATGGTACAGCCCTAATAATAATGATCTTAAAAACCCCCTTAGGATGCCACAAATCTTTCGAAGCGGCCCTTCCTCCACTGCTCCAGTATTATAGTGGTGCTGCTGGTGTTCTACATGTGCACCGCCTGTTTGAACTACTTCCGGACCAGCTTGATGCTGGGCTCCCTACTCTGTGCCTTCATCACACACCACACCAGGGATGCCGTGAGGCGGGGCTACTGGCTGTGCCCACTGGGACACACGGACCGAATGCCCCAGCTGGCCTACATAGTGACCACCATCCTGACGCCCCATCTGCTGGGATGTCTGCACAACATATGCCGCAGTGCCACCGTCCTCAATTTCCTGGGTCAATACATCAAGCTTAGCGAGGGCCAATATCGCAGTAGTTCCACTGCCAACTATCGCTATATGCAGGTCTAAGCTAAACAAAACACATTGTGATAATACTGCAAATCATCATGAAATGGTAAATGCAAAATGCTTTTCAAGCTTAAAGCGCTTTAAGATTAGAGATCAGCTAGAAACCAAAATACTTCCACACTACAGGACACAATTTTACACGGATCTACTACTAGGAGTACCTTTTTTTTAGGGGAACTATGCTTCCCGTCCAATTGATTTTTCTCTGTTAAGTAGCGTGTAGGTTTTTACTAGCATCTAAATATAGTACAGATAATATCCGGATTTGTGATATGTAGTCCTTAGAGAAACTAGAGTAACGAGCATAGCGCACAATGATATGTAATCGATTTTCAACTTCAACCTTGACTCTTGTACTTCTAGGCCATACGATTTTAAGCTAATCGAAACAATAAACACAATGTAATTGCCTTAAAACACCTGCCTTGTAATCACGATTAATCCCATTGATTTACTTGGCCCACCTTAATTTCCATTCGCTGTTTGTTTGTGGGCCAAATTAGTTGCCATTTACAAATTAGCCCCAATGGCTGGCGTTGCTGCGAAGGAATCCCGTCATAAATCGACTTTTTCGTTTATTTAGCCGAATCGGTCGGGTCTATTTTTAAACGAATTTAATTTTAAATGTTCGCCATTATAAATAAATCACATTTCGATTGAAAAAGTTCGCAAGGAATATAAAAAACTTTGGTTTTTCGAAATTTTCCTATGCTTTTCAGCGGAAAATCGACGTATTTGCGGGTCAATAATTGGGTAATTAAATTTCCACGTGCGATGAAACAAAGAAAATATTCTAGGGTATTGTCGGTCCCAGAATTTCCCACGCATGCCCATTAACAGCGGTACTAACAACAATAACAGCGGCTGAATCTGTTGGCAACAACCACGATACAACATTTGTATGACATACACTGAGAGATAAATCTAACAAGCTTAGTTTCTTTTTGTTTTAAAACTTTGATAGATTTATAGAAGGGTTTTAGCATCCATAATCAAAGTTTGTTGTGTTATTTATCATTAACAACCTTCACAATAATTATTTTCTAGGTCATTGATAGTATCATTTACTCTAAATGATACATAATATTAAATGTTGCAGGGGTGGATAGGAATACCATTATTTGATAGTTACTAATTAAACATTTTTATATGAATGTACTTGGAGAAACTACCCGCTGTTGAGTCAAACAACTTAAAATGGTTTTTGGTCATATGGTTTTAAATTGATGTATAATTCAGCTAATAGTTATAAAGGAATAATGTAATATTTATTTGTATCATAGTCTGTAATTGGTTTTTGACAAAAACATATGATCTTAAAGTAGTTTATTAACCTCTTGATTTCTCCCTGTGCACACAAATGATGATCGTTTTGGGCTTGGTCGCGTCTCGTTAGTGGACACATATTTATGTCTGATCAGATCGCTGCAGAGATCCCAGTACAAAAAGTGTCGGCGCGGCGGCCACAGCATCTGATCTAAAAAAAGAGTCAATAGGTCGCGTGTCCAAATCTTTCGGGATTCGAACTTATCGCGTGTGTGTGTCTTTCGAATTGGCCAAGATTGCGGACCAAGAGGATATCAGTGAAAATCCGCTCGCCGTAAGTGCGCTGGATTTGAAGATTCGTAGACTTGGCTAACTGTTTGGCTTCCGTTGCACTGTTTTTTTTTGTTTTTGAATTTTGAACTTACAATTGCATAGTTAGAGTTCCGCTTTTTTGTTTGCCCCTCGACCTTGGGCACTTTTCACGCTTCGTTTGGCAGCCAGCCGTATATTTGTTTATCGATGATATCACGGCTGGGTCATTAAGACCCCGGCCAAGTGCGACATTTTTGTTTGCCTTTCGCCGATAACTAACTTAAGTTGCTAAACGCCGTTCCCAGAGTCATTAACACCCAGTTAAAATCCAGCGTAAATCACGGGATTCGCCACTGGGCAACCAGCAAAGTTTCATAATATTTATCTGGCACGATCATAACATGCATACACAGTGTACACTGTACAACCGTGTATATTATATCTATATAGGTACATGGTTTAAAAATAAACATTGTAAATATTTACATTGGAAATCTATAAAGAGCAACAAGCCGAATTCGCCCCATAATTCTCTTTGCTCGTTGTTCACACAGTTTTGGTCTTTGGTCAAAGGTTTTATTACCCTTTTTTTCACTCTGTTAGAAGAAATAATGTGAATCTTCAAAAAGAAATAACTCATAAAATATCTGTGACTGGTGCTTTCATGTTTATGAATTGATAATGAGCTCGTAAACAGTTCAATTCTGGTTGCCGCTGCTTAGAAGCCATCTGAACTGAACCGATCTTGATCAAATGGGGGATTTATGGATGCTCTTGCAGCATAGTAAGCTCACATCTAGGTGTAAAGTCAGTCACTGATAAAGCCAACGATCGATCGGTTTCGCCAAAAGCTTTTAAAGAGTTGAGCAATTTAAAAAAATATATATAAAATTGAAAGAAACATGGGTCTACAATCCGGGTTCCATAACTTGAACACTTAAAAGTATCTTATTATAAATCGGGTTTTAAAATTATACTTAAATATTTACCTTCCTTAATAAATAAATTACTTTGATGTACATTATTAAAGATATATTTATAAAGACGTTTAAAATAATAATATATCAGTATAAAATATGTTGCCTCAGGAAGAAGAGAGAATTTAGTGTAGCCACTTTAAGATACCTTGAAAAATGCATTGCCTAGTACTTTTTATTTTTATACTAGAAGTCGGACTGTACGATTACTTTATGATGAATGTTTCTTTGTGCAGCTGAAAAAATCGAATTGCCTGTTGTCTCAACTCCCCAAAAATAAAACATTAGCTTATTGTGACCCCAAGGCGTATGAGCAATGTGTCATTTTTGAACGCCTCACCTGAACAATCTGAACGGTCCACGACAGCTGCCTAATTAAAATCATCGAAGATTCCGCTGCTCCGACGGCGTCTGCCAAATTTTTTGAGAAAACGGCCAAGGGGTCGGATTGTCGATTGGTAAAAAAAGCTCATACGCAGAGTGGGCACACGAACGCACTTGCAATTGCAAAGGCACTTCTTTCTGTCGTCTTATGTGCAGCCGGGTTGAATGACTCGAGTCCGTGCGTCCGCCTAAATATAACACTTGCACTTTGCCCAGCACCAGTTTATATAATACCCTCTTGAGTGCTGATCTTAGCTTATCCCCAACAAGGGATTTCAGACTTTGAGACCTTAGCAGAAAAAGCTGCTCGTGGAGATGCATTGATAAACAAATATGGGAAAACGTGTTTGACCAAGTGTTTTGTTTTTTTTTTCTTTCTATTCTGATGGCACAGTTCTTTCTTTAGAAAAACATATAGACCCAACGAAAATTTGCCCCGTCAGAAGATCTAAATTTTGTGCCGGCTGTTGGTCGTTGACAAAGAGCGAACGAGCAGCGAAATCGATGAAAATAAATCAAAAAAAAATAAAAATTAACAAAATGGCAATCCCAGAATGAGGGAAGATTTCAAAATTTTGGTTTAAAAACCACTGGGCAGATAGTATACCGCTCTCTACTTCTCTCTTCGGACGACTTGTTTTGGGCTTTCGCTTTTTTTTTGGCAGCTTTTCGAGCGCGTTGGAGCGCCGCAAAATGCTCAATATTGTTTGGGATTCCGTGGCGAGACGATCGTTGAAAAAGTCGCGCGCGCTGCTAAAATAAATTTTAGAGATTCACAAAGAAATACAATATTAGCCAAAAACAAAACAATAAAAGCACACACCATTAATAATCCCCCTAAAATATTAAGACTTAAATACGCAGACAAAAGCAAATAAAACCCAAAGTAAATACATTTTATTGGTGAATAATTATACACAGTGACAAGAGTGCCAACACATTTAATACACACAACACATTCGAGTGCTGGTAAATAAAGCTGAAACTAGGCCAACATTTAAAACAAAATATTACTCATACGCCACCGGCACCGCATTCATTCCCCCATCTCAGTTATCAGTTTTTGAATGAGCCCAATGAGTGGACTGCGTCAACAGCTGAAGGTAAGTACCGTTCCCGCCTTATCGATGGTATAAGCCTCCTACGTACAAACCCTAATTCCCGATGATCTTGAGTCTCCATTGTAAAACCTGCTCGCATTTGCATAAATATTTACCTAATCGCTTTTCAATGGTGGCAACAACTTTCGTTCTCCGTCTGGCAGGCACTAAAGCTGCCTCCGTTGTATACACAATTTGTTTTTATTTCTTTTATGATGAGCAAATATTAAATCCCTCTCTCGCGAACCGGCTATAAATAATTTTAATAACAATATTGGTACTACATTGCGGCAATTCGCCTGTCAGGGTCGCCAAGGAATATGTAAATTAGCAGATCGTATTTGTTAATTTCACCATGTCTCGTCAAATATTTAGCGTAACCGAATTACATGATGTTCAATACAAATATTTATCTCGGTTTATTTTCGGCATAAGGCTAATTTGAATAAGTATTGTGGCATTAATGGATGTGTTAAATGCTGAAGAGCTCATATGATCAACAATTAGGATGTAATTACGATATGTACTTGTTTAAAACTAATTGGCTTGAAATTATTACGAAATTCAATTGGTTTTATTTCCTTATTGTTAAATTTAAAATCATGAAATCCATTTATAATTAGAGTAGAATTGAAGCTTCCGGATAATTTTTTTTATTAGGTTTAATAACTAGTTTCATTACTCCTCTGTTTTTACCATAGTTTTTCTACGAAAGTCACTTAATGGCAGTCTATAAACCTGCACAAATGCCATAATTTATCCAGAACTATGCACTCTGTTTGTCTAAAGTCATAAAATGCGTCGCTGTCGCAGCCCATAACATTGTAGCCAAGACACATCATTAAAAAGTACAGACGAGCATCCATAAAAGGCATATGGAAATAGATATAGATATAGACATGTGCATGTTCCACTGGAAATTGGCTTTTTGCGGGTGGCATCATAATGGTTTCTTAATGTGCTCGTCCAAGATTTTTGGCATACAAAATGCGCTTGGGTGCTTTCCAAGGCATTAAAAAGTCGATTGTTTATCGACATAGACGTACATATGTATACTTGGCCAATATAAACATTGTCGATTATTAACTTTTTCTCAACCTTTTCGATGTGTATTTTTGAAATTCGTCTACCCTAATATGATGTGAGCACACTATGCGAACTTTTATTTGTGGTTCAAAGTTTGATACTTGTTTATCAGAATTTCCCGATTGACGACACAACAATATTTTGTCTGGATTAAAACAAACAAGCCGCAGATTTATGATTTTGGCAAGGCTTTGCGGCACATAAAAATTGTTGGTGAATTCGTGAAAAAGTGTCAAAGAAAAATGCCATCAAATGAACATTAAAATGCCGTTCTCTACAAATTTATTAATATGTTTACATTTTATGCGTCTTGGCACGTGAGCAATGCCATAGTCTGCATTTATTTTCTTAGATAAAGTCAATAAACTAGCAGTTGGCTAAGGTAACTAACCTGGGACAAGGTTTTACATAGTTGCCGTTCGGGCCAGGTGAACATCTGCTGCATTATAATTACCAATGAGGTGGCAGTTTGAATTTTATGTAGCATTACAAGACAAAAAAAAATGTGAGGAAAATAAACCATCCACTTGAAACCTTCAGATTTTACTATATTAACTTAAAAAGTATATATTTTTCCATTAATGTTCTTAATAATAAAATATTTCTTATTAATGCCTTATTAATGAATTTAAAGCAAGCATTGTTCGAGAAAATGGAAATATTTGATCTTTTCAGATTTTTACGCAAACACTTTCACCAGTTTTGCTGGTTCGTTTTCGCAATTAATCAAAAATAGTTCAAATACTTGCCATTCAGTACGTAATTGAGAAATAAATTGGGAAATAAATAAATAGAAAGCACGAACACTTTAGCTAGCCCCCTGCCAAGTTCCCTCATATTTGGCCTAATCGAGGGGTTGATGTTTTCGTATTGGTTTTAAAGAGCCAACTAATTGCATTTGCACTGCTTTTTGGCTGAGTTGAGATGTTCGGAATTCCTCAAATGCAAATAGATTGGGGAAAACAACAAACACGAGCGGGTGCTAAAATAACCAAAGAACAACGTAATAAACAAGAATGTCAAATATATAAAAAGACTAATAGACGAAATGTAAAAATATCTGTCTAGCCCACCCCCAAATACCATTTTAATTTTAGCCCGCAGCTCAAGAGTATGCCACATTTTCTTTTATAATTTGACTAATATTTTTTCTTGGCTCTCTGACTTTTATTTAGTACACTTCATGTTTTATCTGGTTTTATTGTTTTTATTTCACAGATGCTGGGAACAGCTTTGCTGGGCAAGCGGGCCACCAAGGTAAACACCAAAAATAATCTTTATTTATTTAATTTTCACTCTCGTTTCGTTTTTTGCCTATTTATTTTACAGTCTGTCAAAAAGAAACCATTCACAGAGGTGGAAATTAAAGGTAAGTAACCAAATCAAACCACAAATCAACAAAGAAATTGTTTATTTACAAACAAGACGAGCAGTGACCTCTGTTCTTCTGGTAAAAACTGAGCAAGATATGGGTTAATATACGAAGCGATGGTGCTGTGCTATCTAGTATCTGATTTTTCATAATTACAGCCAATTTATGTGCAAAGATAAATAGCAAGCTAGGTCATTTCTTGGCCAGGCCCACACTGCGTATACACAATCTGTTTTAGCACTATCAGGGTGTAAAACTATTTTTTGTAGTGCACAGAGAAAAATATATTGTGATTTAATATAAATTGAAGGTTGTGTTTTTCGACGGGAGTAACTTTGCGTCTTAAGAAAAAATTTAAAAATTGTTTTACCCTAATAATTTAAAAATTTTTAAATGTGTAAAATGTTAAATTGAATTTAATTATTTTCCATTGCAACACCCTAATATATAAAATTTGTGAGTATACATAAATTCATATCCATTTAATACCAATTTTTTCATGTATATTTTTAAAGTTTCGAAGGGCATAGTTTAACCAAACCTCTATTAAGAGATAAATATAGATCTTTGTAAAGTAAAACCTAGAAACTATTTTTCTATTTCTGTGCAAGTAAATTTAGCAAGACTTAATTACTGACCGCCTTTTGCATGTCAGCTCATTTATGTATGTTTTCACTACAACCACCAATTTTAGACCTTCGGTAAGACTGGAAGATGGATGGATCCGTACTCCTATATAAGTTTAAAGCTATTTTTATATCTTGAAATTTGCTCGAGCAGCACTGCTGCCTTAATCTAATCAAGATAGCCATAATCGAGTTGAAATTTAATTAACGCGCCTCCTTCTTTTTTCTACCCGATAGTGGAAAAAGTCGAGGTGAATATAGACGGGGTATAGAGGGCAGCGGATAGCTGACACCCTCGCATCACGTGCCCAATTAACGGGCAAATAAAGACTTCAATAAAAAAGAAGAAAAATAAAAGTAGAGCAGAAAACATAAAAAATACCTGCTATACAGCATTTTTTCCAAATTTAATTTGGCCCCTGGGACTTATCACAAAAGGTGTTTACAATTGAAAGACGAATCAGATAAGATGCTGATCCCACACCACCCATGTGACACATTTGCCCGGCTGACAAGCCAAACAAGTCATATTTAAATCGGAACAGGCACTTTCATTTGACATGGCCTTCAGCTGTTGAACTCCAGCAAATATTTGGAATATTAAAGTGGAAAAAGCAGCGGGAAAAATATCATATACCATATGAGTCATTTATGAGCAAGGAGGGTCTTATTGTGGCCAAATTAAGGGTAATTCGAAGACATTAATGGTTAAGATAGTCATTTATCGACATTTTAAAAATTATCAGTTCTGTATTATAAAATAAAATATTATCAATAATAAAGGTAGGGAAGGGTAGGTAAATAGCTTTCTCAAATAAAATTATTACGATTGTAAAAAGCTGATATTAAAACATAATCATCAAGGGATCTGTTAATATTCGTTAGTTCAACCCAATCAAGTTTTGAAACTATTTCGTCAGTGCACTGTGTTTGTAAATCAACCACTCCTACTTTTTTAAAAACAACTTTAGAAATAACATTATGGGAAGATATAGCACTACTAGTATTACCCCAATATCGCACAACAATCAAGACGAGCCATTCACGGGTAGTTTTTGGGCTAAGGCCCCACTCAGAGTGTCTGGTTGTCTTGCCCTGGTAATCAGACAACTGAAATCAAGATAAGGCCAATGGGAAGAACAGTAATTCGAGTGAGAGTAAATACCATTACGACACATGGACTAGCACTTAATGAAATCGGACAACCCATCCCAGCTATATAACTATATATACACACACCTACCCATTTTTACACCCACCCACAGATTCGGGCACTGCCATCCGGCTGATAAGTCAGTTAGTTATCTGCGGGGAGCGGCGGGTGCTATCACCCAAATGAAATATAATACAATATAGTATAGCAAAAGTCGGCTGGTTAGTTCGTTTCACTCCAGGCCATTATCTTGGGAGTTTTCGTAGATAAATCGCTCGGTAACGCTGGCATTCCTGCAGCATTATTATTTTTCGCGCCCTCGCAGAGTATCGCCAGCTTATGTAGCGGTCGGAAGTGCCCCTCGAGTGTCTCTCCCCAGCCGTGATTGATTGATTGATTGATTGATTGACTGATTAACTGACTGATTGCCCGCTTGATAGTGCCGCGTTTGTGTCTCCCGAACTTCCAAAAACCGAACCAGTTTCACCTGGCGAATTAGCGTCTTTTCGCTTCGAAAATATGAGCAAAGATGATAAGTGTGAGTATAAGTTGGTGCCGAAACTTGGCCAAAGGCGAACTTTAGCCAAAATCATAATACCGCTATCGTTATCGGTGGTAGTACGAGTACGAGTGCGACCAGCAGAATATTACTAATTTGCAAACACCAATCAACTTTCGGAGACACACGGCATTGACAATTTGTCGCCACACTTGTAAAACTAATTAAACGTTTGTCAGCAGCCACGTATGGTCTAAAACACAGAAAAAAAATATTGGAAACTTAAGGTCTTTTAAAATAAGTAAGCAGATCATATAAAGGGTGTTACAACTTAAAATAAAACAACAAATAATTTCAAGTGCATCTAAAATATAATCTTGCTTAAAATTAACTTAAATTCTGATGTTTGTTTCAAATAATTTTCTTAAATATTGTACTTACCTTTTTGAAATTAGTGTATAAAATTTAAATATATTATGGAAAAGACGAAATCTTAATCTTGTTAAAAATTAAACTTATTCTATCTGGCCTTAATAATTTAAATTTTGATTTTCCCTTACTTTTTTAAAAGTTAAAAGTATTAAGTATTATTTTGTTATATGCATTCGTATATTAGTATATTTTTTTCAGTGTAGCTCCCGTCCCTTTATATATCTCCCTGTTATCACTGAAAAATTATCTCACTGTGAGTTTGTGTTGTGTATTTGGCAAGTGGGCGGTTGGCAGTTAATTTGTTGCCACTTTGCCGCTGATGAAACCTGACAGTCAAAGGCAACCGGAATATTTTCTGCGAGTTTTTGTTTATTTGTGTTTTTTTTTTACGTTTTTCTTTTGGAACACGCCTGCATTTTGATTTATGGTTACGCAACGTTGGCAGTTTTTTTGGGCTTCGTCCACAGAATTCTCGGCTTGCTACTCGACTTGAGTTATGAGTAGCAAAACAATTAGCCAAAACGAAAAAAAACGACACAGAAGTGAAAAATGAGAGAGTTTGTCGTCTGTGAAATTTCAATTTTACTTTAAATGTGATTTATTTAGAAATTTGTTTAAAAATAAATTTAAAAAATGCTGCTTACAAGTGAATTTTTTAACCAAACTCAAAATGTTGGGTCATAAAGTTTATTCACTTAGGATACTAAGCACTGAAATGTGCATTGTCAAGAAATTTTCACATTTATGTTTTGTAAAATTTCAAATGAGTGCTTAAAAAATGGGAAATGGAAGAAAACAAAGCGCTAATTCAGTCACGTCGATGGATTCAATAACAAAGCGAGATGATAAATTGTTTTTTGTAGCCTGCTTCTGTGCGTTCTTGTGCCCTTGACCCTCAACCTAGCCCCACCCCTTTTTCTATCCCCCTTCTCGGCCCCTTTTTTGACCCCCCTTCGAAGCTCGTTTAGGGGCACGTTTTGAGTATGAAAGATTTTGACGATGCCCTCGGATTGATTTTTGCATATTAATGCAGGACATTGAATGGGAATCCAACTGCACTCGATTCCAGATGGGTGGGAAACTCTATATGGAACAGATGACTGGCCTTGGGTACTTTGACAGCCCATAAAAAAAGAAAAGCCAAAGATAAAAAGCATTGAGTGGCAACGCATCTATAATGGCAATCACCTCGTAAAATACCACATTTGTGTTGCATTTTCACGCACTTGACTAAAAAAATTGAATTTCTCCAAAAAAGAAAAATATATATTTAATATACATATATATACCTTATAAGAAATGGTTAATAAACAAAAAAATAATAAAAAATGTAGACCTATAATTGCCCCCTTGTGAGCCAAAGACTTATCTGCCTTGTTTTCTAAATGTAATTAGTTATTAAAATCAGGGTCCTTAACCGATGTTACCCCACCGTGCTTGCGTGGCGCCCTCTGGCGTCGGCACGTGACTTCGTTTGCGTAGCTCCCACGTTTTTCGTAGGCGTTCGTGATGTTTTTGGACCCGCCTAGTTAGTTACTCCGCGCCTAATACAATTTACGCCTTCTGGAAAAGTTTTTATGCGACGCAGTTTGTCTCGTATGAACATTGAATCGTTCTGCAATATTCAGGCCATCGTCCTGTAATAAAGCTGCTCATATTGTAAACTCTATCATCATCCATGTGTCCCAGAGTTAACTGATTGGTGTTGGTCCTAGCTTGCATTTCACTCTGTTGGCTGCCCAAAGTTTTCCCAATTAATTTTCATTAAAAAGTTGTTTGCATTGCCAAGAGTTGAACGAACTGGAGGGGAATCCAGAGCACAAGTGGTGGGGCCCTACAAAGGGAAAGCGGAGCATCGTTTGAAAAAGTGGACAGGACTTTGTTAAAGGATTGCAACTCATTTCTCAGAAGGGAACATCGAACCAGAATTTTGTTTTAACGCTACTTTAAATCGTCTTTGTTAAATAGGAAGAGTTATTTTAGAGTTTAAGCTTAATTCCTTGATCATGTCCTTAATAAAATTTCTATAATTAAACATTGCCTTCAAAATATATTTTAAAATGTGTACTACAAATATCAGAAATAAAATATCTATGGTAAAAATCATTTATTTTTATCATGTTCCAAAAAGTATGCTGTGAAAAATTTAAGATATTTCAGCCCTTACTAATCAAACTACTAGATTCAAAATACTTCTTAGAGTACTTCTAGTCGCCTTCCTAGGTGAACTCAAATCTCTAGAAATTTCGCATGTAAAGTTCAGTATTTTTTCCCGTTTATACATTTT